TTTATTTCTAAAAACCCATTTGGTTCCAATAATAGAAGTATTAGATGGCCTATGGACTAATTCTCAAACTTTGTTCCTTTCAAATTGATTTAGCTCTTCTTGCATGGCTAAAATCCAAAACTCATCATTTTNGTAAATTTGGGCCTTAACTAGTTATATGGGCTTTACAAACCCACCTTTCTTTTTAAAAATACCCCCATAAGTCTCTTCATAATTGAGTCCAAAACGTGTAATTATATAAAACATGATATATATATATATAAAGACGAAGATTCTATTCCTAAGATATTGGACGAGCATTAGAGCCATCGAGGAGTGGCAAACACCTATAGATTTGAGTGAGCTAAGACCTTTTTTAGGGTTCGTGAGCTATTACCAAAGATTCATGGTAAGTTACTCGAAGATGGCTACTCAACTCAAAAATCTCCTAAACTAAAGGACACACAGACCGAAACATGTTAGAAGGACTCACGTTGGTTTGTCGGGGATAGTCTTCACTCTTAGTAGCAAGGAAATGTAAGTAAACGTGACCATATTGTAAGAGATGTAGGGAAATACTAAGGCATATAGGTCCGAGTCCAAATTTTGAATCCTGAGCGTTTGACATTATAATATTTATACTTTCTTTAAGATTGAGGTGAGGTAAGCATGATAAAGGCATAAATAAATGTAAATGGTGAGAGTTTGGTGGTATAATTTCAACTTAAACCAAAAGATTCTACCAATAAAATAGTTTGGCAACAACTTATATAAAATTAAATAATTATTTCTTTTTAACTCCCAACCAATCTTCTCCTTTATTCTTAATTCCCTAATAAATTTATTAAAAAAATTAAATTAATAAAAATATCTCCCAAATTTAAATTTAATTAATTTTATTCCCTTTTTAAAAAAATATTTTTATGAAAATAAAATATTAACATTCTAATTTTTTTTTTAATGGTTTAAAAATATCAATATTTACCCGTCACAAATTATCACTAATATTAGTTTAAAATATTAAATATTAGTTCGGTTGACTAGACTAAAAAAAAATGTCAACTCGCAAACTAACCAACCCAAATCGAAAAAAAAAAAAAAAAAAATCTAACCTATTCGGATTGGATAGTCATATAGACTTTTCTTTTGATAATTTAACAACAATTTCTCCCTCTCATTATTAGTATAATTTTATTTTTTATTTTTTATTTTTTATTTCTAACATTTTCTAACTCTATTTCAGAGCACCACGAGATTTTATTTTTTTATTGTATGGAATTGTTATAGCAAGCATGAACAGGAATAAACAATGACTCGAGTTGACCCGAGTTTTACATATTTAGAATGTCTAAAGGTATCGTTGACGTGAAATGATTTAGAAAGATTCTTCTTTCTCGATCACAGTATATATAGTAATGTTTCTTTTTCAGTCCAATCCTAATTCCATTTTCTTTTCTAATCTTTTTAAAAATTATAATACAAAATAATGGAAAAATAAAATAAAATAAGAATACTTAAAAGTCACGCATTAATTAAGGTTTTGGAAGCATTATATTGCTTAGGTCCAACTAACATAACTAATATCAAAAAACATCCAAATTTAGGGTTTGTTAGCTTTTGAAATTACTCCAATTTTTAGTTGCAGCAGCTAACCACCACCACCACCGTCACAACCGCCGCCACCGCCGCCGTCACTAATAATTTCATTTTTTTCCACATTAATTACTTTTATTTTCTTCCACCTCTCCTCTTAATTAATTTTCTTTGATTTGTTAAAATTGTAATAATGATTAAGTACTAAATTTTGTGAATTATTACTCTTAATTCAATACCCACCTTTAATTTTAATTTTAATTTTAATTTTAATTTGGTTTTGCTTGCTTTACTTAGGGTTTATCAATTATATAATTAAGTTTGGTCAATTCATTACAAGACAAAAAGTACTAAATAAATAATAGAATAAGTAACCTTTTCTTTCTATTAAATTATTCTTATAAATATAGGTGACAAATACTAATATTTGACCATTTGAGCTATGTTGGTTACAAGTGTTGGATCGGTATGGCAACCCTAGAGGGGGGGTGAATAGGGTTTTAACGATAAAAGTGTTTANCAAATTTAGGAATCCATTTCATATTTGCATTCATATTAAAGACATTGTATTTAGATAAGTAACAAGAATAATCTTTATGTCCAAACTTACCACACGAGAAACAAACGACATTATGCAAGAATTTATTTTTTGGACTAAATTTGTGTATTCTATTTTTATTCGAAAAATTATTTTCTAAAACATTGTTAAACTTTGTATTTTGAGAAACTTTTCTTCCTAAATGAATATTTTGAGAATTTTTCAATTTAAAGCACTTAGGTCTAATATGACCTTCAACACCACAATAATGACATATAGGCACAAATCTAGATTTATCATACTTAGATACAAATTTACATGTGTTAGATTTAGGCAAGATAGGGGATGCTTTAACAAAGATTGTTTTAGAACTTGAAGGTGTAGAACATTCATCAATATAGCCTAATCCTCTTTTATCACCATATGACTTACCTCCTTCAAGTATTTTATCTAATTT